ACAAATTATTATAATATTAAATACATGCATCAATATACAATAAAGTCAAAATGAAATTATATCAATTGATAAAGCCAAAAAGAAATATTTTTACTTTAATCAAAACAAAATTGAAATGAACTGTTTTGACATTTTCCCATAGAAAATTTCTTCTTCACAATTGACATGTACCGGTGAAACATTTCAGTCCCAAAGAAACTAGATTTTCCGATGGAAAACTGTTCTGTCAAAAAAAATTCAGCTAGCTCTATCAGGGAATTTATCTGAGCTCCATCATAGAAAAGCCATCTGCAACCTTCACTATCCTAGACTCATGAACCAATTCTCCTCTTGCTCCATCTTAACTCCATTGATGTCAATGGAATTATAGTACAGTAACTCCTCGCTTAATGTTGTAGTTATGTTCCTGAAAAATGCTACTTTAAGCGGAACGATGTTAAGTGAATCCAATTTCCCCATAAGAATTAATGTAAATGGGGGGGGGGAACAGGTTCCAGGGAATTTTTTTTTGCCAGGCAAAAGACATTATATACATATACAGTAAACGTTTTAAATAATTTTAAACAAACAATTTAATATTGTACTCACCAATGATGATTGTGAAGCTTGGTTGAGGCAGGGGCGTAGAGGAGTTCGGGCAGGGGGGCTTGCCCCATTCCACCCGCCTGGCACTCCTGCCAGGAAGCAGGGTTAGGGGCTTGCCCACTCCCTGCCTGGAACGCCAGGTGGGCGGAGTGGGGCGAGCCAAACAACCTTGTAACGGAACATTGCACGACTTTAAACATGTATGTTTGCTAATAGATCAGCAACCAAATAACAAAACAATGTTAGCCAGGACAACTGTAAGTGAGGAGTTACTGTACCCCTATTTTATGCCAGTGGGAAATCAGAAACAGGTGCTCTGTGTCTCCGTATCTTCTTCTCTACACTGCCCACTTAAAACCAGCAGCAGCACATGGTGAACTGAAATCACTTTCGATCAGCATCCACAGTTTACTCTTTTAAAAGATTTCTATGTTCCCTGAAATGCTCCACAATGTCTCACACTCAGTAGACAGTTTGTGTGTTAATATCTAAATATTTGCTTGAAAGTAAGAAAAACAAACATTTACATTGTAGATTGGACTGGGTTAAGCTAAATACACATTGATACAAAGGTTTAAAACTAGTATTAAATGTATATTAATATTATTTGTCTCCTTTTGAATCAGAGTTACTTTTTGTAAACAGTTTAGGTAAGACCTATTGAAAAAGGCCAACAAGAGAAGCAGATGATGGCATGCTACCGTAACTAGGAGAAGAGAGAGGCTCCAGAGTACATCTTTGTATATTATAAAACATCTTCAACTGTTTTAAAATTGATTTCCTGACTCTTAAACCAGACTTAACTTGTCCTCATGAGCTGAAAGCCATAAGACTCAGTAAAAGATTCAATATAATGGTGAAAAGAAAAGGAGTACTTGTGGCACCTTAGAGACTAACCAATTTATTTGAGCATAAGCTTTCGTGAGCTACAGCTCACTTCATCGTGAGCTGTAGCTCACGAAAGCTTATGCTCAAATAAATTGGTTAGTCTCTAAGGTGCCACAAGTACTCCTTTTCTTTTTGCGAATACAGACTAACATGGCTGTTACTCTGAAATCTGTCAATATAATGGTGATGTGCTTAAATATCTTTGTACCTGTAATCAGGGCCTGGGCCTCTCAAACTTCTAATTTTTATCAATCTTTCCAGGTTTATAGATGGGATATTATAAGAAAAAAAGGCTGCTTCAACACACTGTCTTCTTTAAAATAGATGCTGTGATGCTTAGTTCCCAAACTGTGTGAGATGTTAAGACCATAGATACATAATAAATAAATGATGTTGCTTGATAGGGGTTTTGGGCATGGTCCCATCTGATGAACTTTTGCATCATTTTAGAGCCAAAGCACATTAGTATCCCACGCAGCTTGGTGTTTTTTTACTATATTATCTTTGATGGACTTGCGCTGAACAAATACAAGGACAGGTTTCTTCACTTGGCATTACTTCTAGCCAAACAATACATTACCATTAACTGGAAATCCACTGCGCCTTAATCCTAAAACTCTTAGATTAAGGAACTTAATAATAATACCCCGTAGAGAAGCTGATGTATTGTATGAAAATAAATTGCCTTGCAGATATTGGATTAACCAGCAAACTCATTTAGGGCCGAGTTTACATGGGTGCATAATTGGGGAGCCGTGTGCAAGGAGACTCTCCCCCGAATCAGACAGCATGTTTAACAGGCCAGGAAAGCCTACAGTCCCTCCAAACTCCCCTGAGATGTACTGTGTCCAAACTGGGTGGTGGTGGTGGTGGTGCGGGGGGGTATCATGGCCTCCCCACCACTCTGTATCAGTCTACAAACTGAGACTGGTTTGCAGCAGGGGTCTATGCTGCACCATACAAAGGAGAGCAATTGTGACTGCACTTCCCATTAAAAGTGGACAGCCCAGGGAGTTTTTCTTACCTTTGCATCTGGCCAGGAGGCTGTGATTTTCTTTCAGATGCAGATCTCACTACCATGATTCATGCTTCTGTCATTTCACTATGATATTAAGGCACTATTGCGGCAAAACCTACTCTAGAGGTTTTAGCTAACTGATTAGCTGAAGATTCAGGTGCGGTCTGTAATTTGCGCAACACATATGCTATTGCAATAGTTAATTCTAGAGTTTAATATCTTAGGCCCTGTCTACACCTGGAAGTTTCTGCGCAGTGAAGAAACTTTCTCGGTGTAACTCCCAAGGTGCACACACTGTCAAGCCACTTAGTGTGCAGAAACTGCGCAGTTGCAGTGCTCTAAAAAAAACACCCCAATGAGAGGCATACAGCTTTCTGCACCGGGATTACAGCACCGCGGTGCCAATGTAGACACCCTGGTCAATTACAGCGCTGCGATTGGCCTCCAGGAGGTGTCCCACAATGCCTGTTCTCGCCTCTGTGGTCATCGGTTTGAACTCTACTGCCCTGCCCTCAGGTGATCAACTGTCATCCCCACCCCATAAATTCCTTTGGAATTTTGAAAGTCCCCTTCCTGTTTGCTCGGTGACGTGTCCAGGTGGCCATGCCTGCTCCACGCACTAAGCGATCCCCCGCTTGGAGCAATGCCAAGCTGCAGGACCTCATCAGCATTTGGGGAGAGGAGGCTGTGCAGTCCCAGCTGCGCTCCAGCCGTAGGAATTATGATACCTACGGGCAGATTTCATGATGCATGACTGAAAGGGCACATGACCAGGACACACTGCAGTGTGAAGGAGCTGCGGAACGCCTACCACAAGGCACGGGAGGCAAACTGCCACTCCGGTGCTGAGTCCATGAGCTGCCGGTTCTACAAAGAGCTGGACGCGATATTTGGCAGCGACCCCACTTCCACTGCAAAGGCCACTGTGGATACTTAGGTGGTTTGTGGGCCAGTCGAAAGTGGACTGAGCCAGGAAGAGGAAATCTTGGATGAGGATGTGGAGAGGGAGGGGGACCCAGAGGCAGGGGATGACTCGGAGGCCAGAGATGCATGCAACCAGGAGCTGTTTTCTACCCCGGAGGAGGCTAACCAGTCACAGCTGTTCAATCTTGGAGAAGCGCAAACAGGAGAGGAGGCCACTAGTAAGTGGATTTGATTTTGGGAATTGCTGAAGTGAGTTGTTGGGGGCAGGAGGGTTGCAGAAAGCAGGCTTGTCTCCCACCACATGCCTAGTCTGAGTGCTGGAACAGGCTGTTGATTGACTCGCTCACTTCACAGGAATCACCCTCAGAGATCTCCAGGAAACTCTCATGGAGATGCTGGGCAATCTGCTGCCACAGGTTCTTTGGCAGAGCTGCTTTGTCTCTTGCCCCATTAACGGTAACTTTCCCACATCACTGTGCCGTCACGGGGGGGAGGGGGGACAATGACACACAGACCATTGCTGTACACAGGCGAGCCACATAGGGACAAGGGCGGAAGCCGCAGTCTTGGAAAAGACCCTCCCTTGATTCCCTGCTCACTCTCAGCAGCAAAGTGTGGGGACAGGAATGATTATCAGGCACCCCCCTACAGTGCTAGCTCTCCCCAAGAGCCATGTGCCCAGTGTATGGCAGGGTCCAGGTCACCATTTTGTGGGTCTTGTGGCTCATGTGTACTTGCCTGGGGCCAGCCAGTTAGTGAGAGGTGTTAGAGTATTGGCTGTGTTTTAAACCACTGAATCAGTGTCCTCTGTGTTGCAAACAACACTGCTTCTGTAAAATGTTGCATTTAAAAACTTCACAGAGATGACCTTGGGAGCCCAGCCTCCCTCTTTGTTACTGGCAGCTGAACAGCTGCGCAGAATTAGAAAGCGGCCAAGAAGAACTAAGGAGGACTTTCTGCGTGATGTTATGATGCATTCCGCCACCAACAAACAGGAACTGAAGGAGAGGCAGGACAGTGAGAAGAGGGACCGAAAGGAGAATGCGGTGCGCCAGAATGAAGCCACGGAGCGGCTCTTAAAGGTTATGGAATGCCAGGCAGCCACACTCCAGGAGATACTAGCTCTTCAAACCAAGCAGCTCCACGCCCACCCTCCCCTGCAGCCGCTGTTGTAAAACTCTTTCCCATGCTCCCCCCAGATACTGCCAACACACTCTTATCAACCTCCTGGCTCCAGTCTGTACCCATGGCATTCCACTTCTCCCCCCTCAATTCAAACTGTTGGTTTTTTTTAAACAGCCAAGTTATAAACCACATAAGAAAAGTAATATTGGTGAAATATCACTTAAAGTAAAACACTGTTGTAATCAAGAGAACATTCTTCTCTGGATGATGATATTTGGCACAAGTGTTTTAGCAAACAGGGAGATATACACTGTACAATATCAATAGGCCTGATTCTCCTCTCTCACCTGTTTTACAAGTGAAATACAACTGACTTCGAAGAAAATTACTCTGGATTTACACCTGCATGACAGAAGAATTAGGCCACCTCTCTGTATATCGAGATCAAGAAAAGTTTTACCTTCTAGCATTTTTTGCAGACTACTCCTCATGACATGGATGTTCTCAATACCAATGAACTGAAACTTGATGTTGGAGTAATTGTCTTCATTCTCATATCCTTTCCCTGCTGCTCTGTTTGCCATTGCATTGAGCTGCAAAGGTAAAAAAAAAAACAACACTGGGTGAGAGCAGGAAACAGGTCATGCTCAAAAGACAACTCTCAGTCTACTGCAGTGAAGAAAAGAAAAAGGGATTAATTAAGCTGTTATTTAAAAATGCAAAGCTTGTAACTGAATATTCTCATCTTACTTGTGTATTCTAGTAGCTTTATCTTTTTTAGAAGGGTGCTTCAACTCTTAAAGCAGTGTTGGGCAACCTGCGGCCCACCAGGGTAATCCGCTGGGGGGCCGCAAGACAGTTTGTTTACATTGACCATCTGCAGGCGCAGTCACCCACAGCTCCCAGTGGCCACGGTTCTCCATTCCCAGACAATGGGAGCTGCAGGAAACGGCGGGGCCACAGGGACATGCTGGCCGCCACTTCCCCCAGATCCCATTGTCTGGGAACAGCGAACCATGGCTACTGGGAGTTGCGGGCAGCCGTGCCTGTGGTTGGTCAATGTAAACAAACTGTCTCGCGGCCCACCAGCGGATTACCCTGACAGGCTGCAGGTTGCCCACCACTGCCTTAAAGGTTTTTATTCAATCACTCATAAGTGGACAAAAAGAAAAGGAGTACTTGTGGCACCTTAGAGACTAACAAATTTATTTGAGCACAAGCTTTCGTGAGCTACAGCTCACTTCATCGGAGGCATTCAGTGGAAAATACAGTGGGGAGATTTATATACATAGAGAAAATGAAACAATGGGTGTTACCATACGCACTGTAACGAGAGTGATCACTTCAGGTGAGCTATTACCAGCAGGAGAGTGGGGGGGGGAATAATTATCACTTTTGTAGTGATAATCAAGGTGGGCCATTTCCAGCAGTTGACAAGAACGTCTGAGGAACAGTGGGGGGTGGGGGGGAAATAAACATGGGAAAATAGTTTTACTTTGTGTAATGACCCATCCACTCCCAGTCTCTATTCATGCCTAAGCTAATTGTATCCAATTTGAAAATTAATTCCAATTCAGCAGTCTCTCGCTGGAGTCTGTTTTTGAAGTTTTTTTGTTGAAGAATTGCAACTTTTAGGTCTGTAATCGAGTGACCAGACAGATTGAAGTGTTCTCCAACTGGTTTTTGAATGTTATAATTCTTGACGTCTGATTTGTGTCCATTTATTCTTTTACGTAGAGACTGCCCAGTTTGACCAATGTACATGGCAGAGGGGCATTGCTGGCACATGATGGCATATATCACATTGGTAGATGTGCCGATGAACAAGCCTCTGATAGTGTGGCTGATGTGATTAGGCCCTATGATGGTGTCCCCTGAATAGATATGTGGACACAGTTGGCAACGGGCTTTGTTGCAAGGATAGGTTCCTGGATTCGTGGTTCTGTTGTGTGGTGTGAGGTTGCTGGTGAGTATTTGCTTCAGGCTGTCTGTAGGCAAGGATTGGCCTGTCTCCCAAGATCTGTGAGAGTGATGGGTTGTCCTTCAGGACAGGTTGTAGATCTTTGATGATGCGTTGGAGAGGTTTTAGTTGGGGCTGAAGGTGATGGCTAGTGGCGTTCTGTTAGTTTCTTTGTTGGGCCTGTCCTGTAGTAGGTGACTTCTGGGTACTCTTCTGGCTCTGTCAATCTGTCAATAAGTGGACAGACACTGTCTAGTACCAACATTGTCACCTTGAACGAAGCTGCTGGAATGTCAGAATTTTAAATAATAATCAAATCAGACATTGGCAGAGGAGAGTACAGCACTGCAATTTAACCCTGTGGGGATGAGTATGCAACATCCTGAGGGTTCTACACTCATGAGGCAAATACACTCCTCTCACCCTCTGTCATCAGGGGCTCAGCTTCTCTCCCTGCTTCTTGACCCTCTTTCCCATAACACAAATGAGCCCCTTCCAAACCTCTGAACCCTGCATGCCAGAAGAGGTCCCACGTTCTAGTGGGCCAACAGTCACATGGAGCCATTTTGGTGTCTGTGCCAGTTCTTCCCTTCTCTGGCCTGACCTCTAGACATGCACCACAGGTGCCATGCTGGTTCTTAGCCGAAACGAGTAGCTGAGGGAGGCTGGAGAGGGTTCCAAGTGGGGTGGCGACAGGTTGGATCTGAAGTGGCTCTTCCCAATAGTCCCAACCCAGCCCTCCCACTGTAGCTAGAAACATTCCCTCCTCCTAGCTTCCTTATGGCATGAAACACCTAGGATTTAGCCAGGCCCTAAGGACTAAAAGTATGGTCTATATAAGTTGTAGTTCAGAGAGGCTGATCCTTGTTTCTGTATAAGCTCCATTTGTATATAGATTATTGGGATCTTACTGCAAGGTCATGGGTTTTATTTGTTCTTACACAGCTGACCTAATTTTATTTTTTTAATCAATTACTGAACATTGTCTTTAATGGTAGAATATAACCAGAAGTGTCCTATTGACCACTCCACAGCTTCATGTTTGTAAGTATACTAATCCTTCCCTGATCATTAATCTTCCATGGCTAGAATTAGTTTGCCCAACGTACCAGAGAGTTAACAAAACACACTTTCTTGAAGCTTGGGGAGGCTGCAGTGTTTCAACCAAAGTTGGTAGTAATCCCATCTTCAGGAATGTAATCACACTGCCCAATTACATCCTAGGTGCAGGTTAAAGGGGTGTCTCCCTTGCCTTCTCCTTATATTCTCCAAAGTTGGCTGTTTGTATCTCTGAGTCAGAATGACCTCACATAGCTCATTCTCCAGTGTGCTCCTCCCGTCAACTTTGTATGTAAATGGAGATTCCATTGTGTTGGCCAACAGTGCTTAATTTAAACACTGACTGAGAGGACAGGTGAATAAACATCCTTTGTCTAGCAGAAACCTGTTTTTCAACTCTGCCTCAATGCAGACTTTCGGAACATGTTTTAGTATGCACAGATAACTCCTTACACAGTATCTGTACATACATTTTACAATGATATTAACAACCAGTGTGATCCTGGCTTTCATTTAAGAGCTCACATGATATTCTTTAGTGAACTAGAATGTACATACCAGTATCAGGATATTCTGGTAACCCCCTTGTCAGCTGGCATTGAGGGATTTATGGGTCACGTTTCAACAGACACCCAGTTGCCTTTCCTCTTCCATCTCTCTCCCTACTCTAAGGACTACCACAAGATGCAACCTACTTCCTATAGTCTCTCTCTCCCCCATTTATTTTTTGTTTGGTTTTTGGCCCAGCAGCCTCATCATACAAGTTGACCATCACTATCTTCGTCATTTTTAAGCCAAAGTTTGTTTTTGTTTTTTAAAATATCCTTTCACTCATTCTAGTATCCTTAAGAAAATGCAGCAAAGATTTTTTTTTGCATGGGGAGGGGGGGGAATAACTGTTACATTTCTCTGGCATTCTCACTGGTCCCTTTAGGGAAAAATCTTTGATTCCAAGCCAAGTCAAGTTTTCATATAGAGACTTTCTTTCCATAAAATATTGCCCACTACACTGCCATAGAACATGATCCACCGTTTATTTGGTTGTGCACACTTTGTCTTTTTTAATAGGTTTAACTTATCATTTAAGGCACAATGATCGAACACTCTAAAAATGACTACTTCACTTTTTCTAGCATGGCGGGGGAGTACAGTATTATCTTCAATTTGAGCCTACATCACAGAAAGTTTGTCCTTTCCCACCATCACCTGTCCATAGTTCTTGCCATTCCTTTGCAGGCTCCTTCGTGACCACACTTCTAAATTCTTATGTGCTTAAAGGTATCTTAATATCCACCTCCTCATTTTGTAGAGCATGTTTTGCTGTTTTGTCAGCCATCTCATTTCAGGTATTCCAATATAACCGGAATCCGTGCTGTTGTTATGGATACCTGCTCACATTTCTTCCATAGTTAGGAACGTTATTTCACTTATGTCATTTCTGCTTTCTGAAGTCCTTGTTCTGATTACCATTATGCTTGAGAAGGAATCAGTTAAAATTACAGCTGCAGCCGGATGCACATCTCTTATCCAAGTTAGTGCCAACACAGGTTTACTGCCACAATTATCCCCATTAGTTCAGCCATCAGAACAGTCACATAATTCAACAGCCTTTTAGATTTCTGGATTCTGACTAGGAACACAGAAGGCTGTTCCCACTCTACCCGTGCTATCATCTTTTGATCTGTCTGTATAGATTTGGCAAAGCAGGCCCAGTTTTTCACAAATAAATTCAAAAATTTAATTGGTCATAATTAAGGCTACGTTTTAGTCACGGATATTTTTAGTAAAAGTCATGGACAGGTCACGAGCAGTAAACAAAAATTCACGGCCCATGATTTGTCCATGACTTTTACTATATATCCCTAACTAAAACTTTGGGGGGGGGGGACTGGTGCAGGGGGGGCAGCAGCGCATGGCCCGGGACCCCCACTGGTGCTGGGGGGCAAGGTGTCTCTCTACCCGGCTCTGCGTGTCCCTGTAGCTCCTAGGCAGTCGAGGCGTCGGGGGCTCAGCGTGCTGCTCCCGCTGCAGCCAATGGGAGCTGTCGGGGCAGGGACTGCGAATGCAGGCAGCACACGGAGCCCCCTGGCCCCTCTGCCACCTAGGAGCTGCAGAGCCATGCCAGTTGGAGCCGGGGAGCTGCCCACCCCAAGGTAAGTACCCCTCAGCACCCCCAAACTCCTTGCCCCAAGTTCCCTTCCACTCACCCAAACTTTTGCTCCTGACCTCAGGGGGTAACCCCTAAGCCAGCACCAGCTGCTGCAGAAGTCACAGAAAGTCACGGAATCGCAGCCTTAGTCATAATGTGTGGTTTTTCTTTCCCTCAGTTTTTTCCATACAGTTCCATATCCACATATGGGTGAATTATTGTCCAGCTGTAGTTTGATTTTCCATTATTAAAATATTTTAGTTCTCTCAATTTTTCTTTCGATAAAATTCCTTTACCCATTTTTTGGCCTGATACATGGATTGTCAAAGACTTCCTCATACTACTTTTGTCTACTAAGTTCCTAGCAATCCTCATAAATCTTTTATGTTCTTTTATTTTCAAGATTTCCTTTTATCTTTGCCCAA